GGAATATAATGTCACGTGAAGGTGAAAAAACTAATAAAGAATTAATTTCACTAATGGTAACTCAAGTTCCAGGAAAAGTTCAAATTGATCATTGAAGTATTTTTACAACTCATTCAATCATTAATAATTTTACATAATATTAGCCTCATTAACACCGTATCTAGTGTAGTAGCAGTTAAAACCTTCACATTGACTAACAACTACTATTACTAAAGTGATCAATTCCTTCCGATTGACCTCATATTTAGCCCCTGTCTGGGAGGGCTTTTCAGCATCAGGCAATTGATTTTTGTGCAGTTGGTTTGTTACCGTTTCTCTCCAAAAAGCAGCCGCAATTGTGGAAATGCTACCGTTGCTGGGTCCAACGGCTGGAAAATCCATTTTAATCCATATTTTTAGCCACACCAGACAAGCCCTTAAGCTCTGTCATGGCTTTATACTGTTCAATAATATTGAAAAATATAAGTAGGACTAAAGGGAGCAATTTAAATTTTTTTTGTTTGAACGCGTTGTTTCTTCTCCTAAGAATCAAGTTTTATTTTGAATATTTTCAATTTCACGATATGGACAAAACAAGCCGATGTTTGATTTAGAGTGAATGTCGCTAAAGGAGTAATATTATTTTATTTTAGTGACTAAATAGGTCAAGAGACTACTTTAATGATCAATTTGAAATTTTACTTGGAACATTAGTGACCATTTATGAAATTACCCAACTAAAAAATTAAGAGCCTGTTTGGTACAGATTTTCATTTTCTACAGTAAATCAATTCTCATTTTCAACCACACATTCTTTAATAAAATAATATTTTCCATCATATCAATATTTTTTTCTTCTTTTTCAACCACACATTTCCCATCATATCACTATTCAAAAATCAATTCTTCCCCCAAAAATCCCTACCAAACACACTCTAACGTTAGTCGAATGAGTCTACCCATAACAAAGTAGTTTCATTTTCTATAGTAAATCAATTCTCATTTTCAACCACACATTCTTTAATAAAATAATATTTTACATCATATCAATATTTTTTCTTCTTTTTCAACCACACATTTCCCATCATATCACTATTCAAAAATCAATTCTCCCCCCAAAAATCCCTACCAAACACAATGTAAAAAAACAGAGCCCACTCCCATGTGGCACTATAACCGTTAAAGTAACAAACTTTTAACACAAAGCAAATAGAATTCTCACAAGACTCTCAAGATCTCACACAAATCTCTCTCAAAACTACCGTGAGTGTGTGAGTGTGTGAGTGTGTGTGTGAGAGAGAGAGAGAGAGAGAGTAGGGCTGGCCGGGTTAAGGGTGGCATTGAGTCGTCTCGGCGGAAGGAATCGGCGGAGGAAAGTGAAGATTAAGGTGATGGAGTGGTGGCAGAAAATGGTTTTCCCTGTTAGAAGAGCTTGGTGTGCTTTTACTGCCCGCGTCAAGAGTCGCAAAAATGGTCAGTCATTTCTCTCTATGTCTGCGTGTATGGCAACGGGGTGGGGAATATGTATGTAGGGATGGCAATGGAATTTTCAGGAGATTAAGTTTAATAAATACGTGTTATAATATGAAAAAGATAAATTCAGCTTGTATGTGGAATTTTGTGCTAAATATTTAATTTAAATAAATAAAAATATATTTTTTCACATTAGACATACTTTATACGCTAAATTGAACAGAGCAGGATGAATATTAATGAGTAGATACATTAGGTGTGGGAGGATAATTAATATTGGGATGCAAAGGTAGAAAATCTGATAAGTTTCTGTAAATTAAAAAAAAAAAATTGGAGTTTTTTCTTTAATTTGTGGCAAAACATGTTCATGTTCTGTTTTTCATTATTTTTTAAAAATATAAGTATTGAAATCCCCTTTGAAAAGTTTATGCTTCCTATTGACAAATATATTTAGTTAAATTATGTCTTTCATTATGCCCCTCACGTTCCACATTCATTTTTACATGAAAGGCGTAATACTGCACAATTTTCATAAATAGGGGACTGTATATGTTGCATAACTGCATCTAAAAGATTAATCTATTGCGAAGGCAAATAATATTATTAATTTAAATTGTGTCTTTAACGGTATGAGGATTAATTTGCTAATTTTTGACATAATTTACTGTGGAAGTTATGAAGGAATACATAGTTAAGCAATTTATTGGGGCCTTCTTGTTTTCAAAGAAAAAGTTAAGCAATTTATTGGGGCCATCTTGTTTTCAAAGAAAAAGTAACTTGATATAATCTACTTAGCTACCTTTATGTAGAAGATACCTCATTCTTTTTATTAGTGCAGAATAAAGGGGTCTTTTTCTTGTTTTGACTTCCATGATGACTTAACAGAAAGCTGCCCTATCTACGCAAGAACACACGGTAGAATGCTCGACCGTTGGGAAAATGTGACCGGTAGTCGAATACTCTATGATATTTAAGGCAGATGGTGTTTTATTAGAGAAATTGATTGGATGGAGTTTTGGCTAAGTATCAGGATTTCACATACCTTTGCCCCGTGTCTTGTCCCTTGATAGAGTTTGTAATAGGTTGGACCAGAGTAGTGTTAGACTGTCAAATAACTAATCGACCAAGACCAAAGATTGATTTGAAGTCGAGTTCTAACATGATACATAGGAGCCATTGGGTGGACCCCAAGACTATGATTGGTTACGAGCTCGACACTTTTGTTTGATGGTGAGGTGATTGGTTGCCTTTGAGGGATGTATCGTCAACTTAAATGGGTCCCTTTTATCATGTCGCCTAAAAAATTAGGAGCCGTGTGGCTAATTATAAATTGAGAGTCGTTTTAGATGATTGTTTACTCGATTAGATTACGTCATGCCTCTTGGATTATGCATTTCACCCTGTATATAAGACCAAAAATTCTAATGATGCCAATATCCACTGCCTTGAGTGTGTATGGCTTTCTACATTTGCATCCTAGTCTGATTATTGGTATTTGATAACTTTTGAATCAGTTATGTTCTTATTATGCACACGGTTCCAAGTACTAAATTTTCTTAGTCTTTAATAATGATGAATTTCGACTATTTTTAAATTATTTTTGGCATACCATATAGTGACATATCCACTAAAGGATGCTTACATCCACTAGATTAGTTCCACTTAAAAGACATTAAAGTGTGTTAAGACCCAAGTCAGTACTAAATCAAGCTGCTAACTACCAAAATAATGTCCCACTTTTGTGCAATTTTAATGGACCATAATCAATACCTTGTTTGTTGGACTATTATTTGTTATTTTGTGTGTGGGGTAGGAGGGGTGGGTGAGAGGTAAGCTCAACAAATGGGACTTGGAATATTGGATTGATATTGAAATAATTCGAATTTGAAATCAGACATACTATGCACCTTTGATTTGTTTGGTAATTAATAGTGTCAACTGTCAAATCTTATTCAATATTGTGTACCCAACACGCTCTTTGTTTTTTGGTCAATATTGTTGGATTACTCGTTATACACGTGTTTGTGTGTGTTGGGGTGGAGGGTTAAATTTAAGAACTCAGCTTCTTCGAATATTGGATAGGTACTGAAATACTTCGAAGTCGTAACCTACTTAGTATGCATGTAGCTTTCTGCTCATGTTAAAGGAATCTAATTCCTTGATGAGTGATGTAAACAGTGTCATAGAATAATTGATCTTACTTTATTTTGCTGTATTCTTTTGAACATTGCTGTCTTTGATTCCTGCTTGAGAGGGAAAAAAAACTTGTGCTTTATTCATGCTTCTGCTGTTTTCAGGTGGCGGGCTTCTGAAACTTCGTGATGACATCCAAACTTGTGGGTACGAGGATGTGCAGATAATGTGGGATATGTTAAGAACAGAAACAGAAAGTATGACTCGCCATGACAAGCGCAAGAATCGATGGTCTTGGAGGAATGTTTCACGGTCCAACAATGGTGAAGCTCCATCCTTCATAAATCATTCTCAATAAAGAATGTTACTTGTGTGGTTCACTTACTACAACAGTAATGCCCCACGGATATGAAGTTGTGCAGAAACTTTACGAGACGTATCTAATGTTTCTACGTGATGTGGTACGAGAAAACATTAGAATCTTGAAAGGACGTCTTGGAAATGAAGTCGTCTGTGAATACATGATGTTTTATCATGAACATTGAAGTACTCTTACAGTCATGAATAAGAACTCTGATGAGTCAATTTAACAATTGCAAGTGTTGATTTTGACTTTTGATTCAATAATGTGTGGATATAACGAGATAAAATAGTTTGCCATTCAACGTGATACCACACACGTAAAAGTTTTGAGTTGATATATCATTGCTATTTGAGAATTTGAAACATTTTTGAAGTAAACTTGAACTTGAATAGGTATGGCAACGAGGCAAGGCAAAGCAATCCTCCCCATCCCATCGGAGATTCCAGAGAGACGGGTTTCTGAAATATCCCTATTTAGTGTATTGCTGCTCCATTTACTTATTTAATTTTTTGAAAGTTATATTTATTTTATAAGTACGATGTAATTTTAAAACATAAAAACAACAAATATAAAAAATAAGAGTCGGATCAGGGACATGTTCTCATTCCTATCAGGAGCCAGGGACGAGGCATTTTGTCGTCCTAAACTTGATGCCCAATTTTAGGTTCTATGAATTTTCAGCCAACAGTTTACCTCAAATTATTGATGTACACGAAATTAGGAACAGCTATTTTGCCTTTGAATCAGTTAGTTATTAAGCTTAAAAAGCTATCACAGATTGTCCAACTGAACATACAAACACAAGGAGACATTAATGGCGGAAATATTCAAATGCTATATCTTAACTACAAAAATTCAATCCATAAACAAACTTTTCAAAATAAATTAAAAATCAAACCTCTTCTTCAGCAAACTCTCTCTCTCTCTCTCCCTCTCCAGGTTGCATGAATGAATTGAATGTTAAATAATCAGAGGAGAAGCCATTGGCCTTAATATAATGTTGAATGTATGTATATATATATAGAGGGATATTTGATACTTAATATTGTAAATGGATAATACACAAGTTTCCAAAGAGCTAGGATTGTCTTGCATGTTAAACACAGAAGTAGGAGCTGTTCTAGCAGTAATTCGCCGTGGCCCTGAATCGAATTCCCAGTTTTATCACCATCCTGATGAAAATTGTGATGTATCAGTGTTACAATCCTTAAAATCTCTCAGAGCCTTTTTGTTCAATCCTCAACAAGAATGGCGAAGGATTGATCCGTCGTTGTATCTGTCTCCATTTCTTGATGTAATACAAAGTGATGATATTCCAGCTACTGCAACGGCTGTGGCCCTTCAATCCATCTTGAAAATACTCCGGCTGGGGATATTTGATGAAAGGACAGTTGATGCAAAAGGCGCGATAAATTCAGCCGTGACAGCGGTTACAGGTTGTCGCTTGGAGAGAACTAACTTGGTTACTGAAGAGGCAGTTATGATGAAGATTTTACAGGTCTTGACTGCTATTATGAGACATCGGGCTTCAGTTTTGCTCACGGATCATGCAGCCTGTACCATTGTTAATACATGTTTCCAGGTGGTTCAGCAATCGGCCAGCAGGGGCGATTTGCTTCAACGCAGCGCGAGGTACGCAATGCATGAACTGATACAGATAATATATTCTAGATTGCCAGATATTGAGGTGAAGGATTGGGAGAATTCGGATTCAGATACTGAGGATAACAATTTGGATTTGGGGTATGGAATCCGTGCTGCTATTGATATCTTTCATTTCTTGTGCTCTTTACTGAATGTAGTGGATGCTATGGAGACAGAAGGGTTGATATCTCAAACTGCAGATGAAAATGTTCAGCTTTTCGCGTTGGTCTTGATCAATTCAGCAATAGAATTGAGTGGAGATAGTATAGGCAAGCACCCCAAGCTTCTGAGAATGATCCAGGACGATTTGTTTCATCATTTAATCCACTATGGAGCGAGCTCGAGCCCTCTGGTTTTATCCATGATCTGTAGTACTGTCCTCAATCTATATCATTTCCTTCGCAAGTAAGAACTCATAATCAATAAGCCAATAATTCATTCTTCAGGACTTTTTTCTGGCTACAGAAGTTTGTAACTCGATATTGCCTTCTCTTTTCAGGTCTATTCGTCTACAACTGGAAGCTTTTTTCTCGTTTGTGTTATTTAGAATTGCATGTCCGGGAAGCTCACTCCAACTTCAGGAAGTTGCAGTTGAAGGACTCATAAATTTCTGCAGGCAACCAACGTTCATAATTGAAGTCTACGTCAATTATGATTGTGACCCAACTTTTCGGAATGTGTTTGAAGAGACAGGCAAGTTGCTTTGTAAGTATGCATTTCCCACTGGTGGGATTGCGACAAGTATACAGATACAAGCTCTTGAAGGGCTCGTAGTCATTTTTCACAACATTGCAGATCACATTGACAAGGAAAATGACCCGAGCCCCACTGGCCCATACCCAGTTGAGATCTCTGGATATAGACCTTTCTGGGAAGAGAAGTCTAAAGATGACGATGTCGAGACTTGGGTGGATTATGTGAGAGTGAGAAAGGTTCAAAAAAGAAAGATATTGATTGCTGGAAATCATTTTAATCGCGATGATAAAAAGGGTTTAGAATACCTGAAAATTTCGAAGTTGATTGCAGATCCACCGGATCCAAAAGCTTATGCTATATTCTTTCGTTACACACCCGGACTAGACAAGACCGTGATAGGGGATTATCTCGGTGATCCTGATGATTTCCACATTAAAGTCCTCAAAGAATTCTCAGACACCTTCCAATTCACGGGAATGATTTTGGACACAGCCCTTCGAACTTACTTGGAGGCTTTCAGATTGCCCGGAGAATCTCAGAAGATCCAGAGAATTCTGGAAGCATTCTCAGAGAGATTTTATGATCAGCAGTCCTCTGAAATTTTTGTTACCAAGGATGCAGTTTTTATCCTTTGCTATTCACTTATAATGCTCAACACTGATCTACACAATCCTCAAGTCAAGAAGAAAATGACAGAGGAGGAGTTCATCAGAAACAATAGAAAGATCAATGGAGGAAATGATCTCCCTCGAGAATATCTATCCGAGCTTTTCCATTCCATTTTAACCAATGCAATCGTGCTTCAAGGTCAATCGGGTGCTGGTGCACCTGTAGAAATGAATCCAAATAGATGGATCCAGCTTATCAACAGGGGCACGTTTATTCAACCTTTCATCTTATGTGAATTTAATCGTAGATTGGGACGAGATATGTTTGCTTCTATTGCTGGACCCTCAGTGGCAACACTTGCCGCAATATTCGAACATTCTGATGAAGAAGAAATCCTCCATGAATGCATAGAAGCGATGTTTTCAATAGCTAGAATAGCTCAGTATGGACTTGAAGACACTCTTGATGAACTCCTTTCCTCATTCTGCAAATTCACGACATTGCTAAATCCTTATGCATCGGCAGAAGAAACCTTGTATGCTTTCGGCAATGACATGAAACCAAAAATGGCTACTTTGGCAGTTTTCACAATAGCAAATACGTTCAAGAATTCCATCCGAGGAGGTTGGAGAACAATCATTGACTGTTTATTGAAGCTGAAAAGGCTCAAGTTACTTCCTCAATCTGTTATTGAACCTGATAATGCTTCAGATTCGGGTTCTGACTTTTCAGCAAATGAAAGATTGGAATCTGGTGTCGTTTTCCCCAGTCACGACCCTAAATTCGGAGGCCGACACTCTAGTTATGGCATAATTGGCCGGTTTCTAAATTTCCTGTCACTGGAGAGTGTAGAAGATGCTCTAAATAATGGTGTTAGTGAATTTGAACAGAATCTCAAAATCATTCAGCAATGTCGTATCGGGAGCATCTTCAGCACTAGTGCAAGTTTACCTGATGAGTCATTGCTTAATCTAGGGCGCTGTCTTATATTTGCTGCTGCTGGTAAAGGCCAAAAGTTCAGCACTCCAATTGAGGAGGAAGAGACTGTTGGGTTCTGTTGGGATCTAATCTGTGCCATCGCCTATGCCAATACACACAGATTCTCAACATTTTGGCCCCATTATCATGATTACTTGCTGGAGGTCACACAACTTCCTCTATTTTCGCCTACTCCATTCGGTGAGAAGGCCATTGTAGCCCAGATGAAGATGTGCCTCAAACTTCTTGCTTCGGGCCAATTCAACACAGTTGAGGAGCTCCTGTTTAAGTCCATAGTTTTGACATGGAAGATGGAAAAAGAAATCCTCGATACTTGTTGTGAGTTCCTAGTGCAGTCGGCAAGCAAAATCATTATGGAATATCCAGAGAAATTGCAAACACATCTGGGATGGAAGTCACTCCTGCATTTGCTATCAGTTACTGGACGTCATCCCGAAACATATGATAAGGGGGTTGAGGCCCTAATCACATTGATGTCTGATGAAACTCTCATTTCACCAACAAACTATTCCTGCTGCATTGACTGCGCATTTGGTTTTGTAGCACTCAGAAACAGCTCAGTCGAAAAGAACACGAAAGTAATGGATTTGATGGCAAATTCAGCAAAATTGCTCGTCCAATGGCATAGAAGTGGTTATTCAGATACTGGAAGCTATGCAAGTTTTATAAGCAACACAAGTAGGTCTTCTGCAGAAGAAAATGCAAGAAGTCATAATCTCATGACATTTTTTCAGAGGTTAGGAGAATCCCTTAGAAAGACAACCTTAGCCCGTAGAGAAGAAGTAAGAAACCATGCTGTCACGTCTCTTCAGAAAAGCTTCATACAAGCCGAGGAACTCTTATTCACACCAGCAAACTGTATTAACTCGTTTTACAATGTGATATTTGCGATGGTCGATGATTTACATGAAAAGATGTTGGAGTACTCGAGAAGAGAGAATGCGGAGAGGGAAACAAGAAGCATGGAACGAACTCTAAAGATTTCCATGGAAGTTTTAACAGAAGTGTATCTGCATTTCCTTAAGCCGATATCTGAAAGCCCGAGCTTTAGGACATTTTGGTTGGGAATACTAAGGAGAATGGATACGTGTATGAAGGTCGAATTGGGAGTATACGGTGAATCAAAATTGCCAGATGCGATTCCAGATCTACTTAGAAAGATTGTAACCACTATGAGGAATGAGCAGATTCTGATACAGAAAGGAGAAGATGATTTATGGGAGACAACCTTCTACCAAATACAGTGGATAGCTCCAGCTCTCACGGACGAGCTGTTTCCGAAAGGCACTGGCAAGTAGTTCTTAGATACTTTATATGGTTCTTCATTGTGATCTCTGTAACAAGTTTTTCTTCTTTCTTCAGCACATACTGTAAGTGTATGCAAGTGACACGCTTCTTTTACACATTCTTTCCATTTTCTTCAAACAAGAACAATATCACTTGCAATCAATATCACAGTAGTTAGGAGAGTCAAGCCAAGAAAATGGCTTCAACAACCCATATGATAACGCATGTAATTAATAGAATGAGTTCAGAGAAATACACTATGAAGATCATGATATATACAAAAACGAATATGTGAACTCTGGTATAAAGCTGGAAAAGACAAATTATATTACAATGTGTTGCTAATATTCCGATACCAATCAATCTTAATCTTGGATTGCTCTTGCATAATACAATTCCACCATTTTTTGGCAGAAATATTGAACTACACAAATTATTCCTGCAAAATTGTTCTAAATTTTCTTGACTTTGGTAATTACAAGAGAAAGTGGAACATTGAAAAGTCAGAAATAAGGTAATCACACAACATTGCAACTGAATATGAGCATCTTCTCATCTGAATGGTTGCTGATGATGGGATACTTCCCAACAAAGTGATACCGTGATACCAATACCCACTCCAGTCCCTGTCATCTTGTAGGAGACAGAGCTTTGCTTCAATGGTCAATAATCGAGAAATCACCATATCATGGCCATCTAGTGGTCCAGTAGGAAAATATCAGCAGCCTGTCTTTCTGATTTAACAGGGACCTATTTATACTCAACTGGAGAGAAATGATGAGATCAAGACCCATTATTCTTCAAATGCATGTGTACATATTTTCTCCAGTAGCAACGACCAGTCTTCACCTAGTTGCTGAGGATTCAACTCCATGGCAACCCTAAAATCCTGCAAAGAAATGGGGCAGTGGGCTCCCTGTTCTTGAAAATCCAAAGGCCGACCACTAATCTGAATCTGCTGTTGATGACCTGGTCTGACACCATTAACAAGCTTCATATAAGCCTGGTGCTTGTTTATATTACTTTTTGTTAGCTCGTGCCCAAACCTAGCCCCTGCAAGTTCAATGCAAGACCTGATTAAATTTTTCACGTAACAATCCAAACCATGGTTCAGTATGTTGGCACAGTCTATTGACACCCCTTCAAGACCCTGTGCTGAAGCAATCTGCCCCATTCTCTCCCTTAATGTTAGACTGTCTAACAAAGCACCATCGCTATATGTGCTAAAAAATCTACTGCTACTTGCAAGTGGCAGAGCTTTGCAGGCCCCACTAATGCTGACCGGGCATAGTGGAATCCCGAGTGGAGCTCTAAGCAGACTCCTGGAATAGACCTCTTTCCCTTTATCTCTAACAAGCAATTCAGTTGAGCCATTGCTATGTACAAAACCTGGACCATTAGATGTCTTTATCTTTTCATTCTCTGCTTGCTGCAGGAGTTCTTGATGATGCTGCATTGGCCTCCCAATATCAAGTGGATTCAGATTCCCATTCTCCAAGATGACATTGAAATCACTAGACTGTGCAGCAGTCAAGTGCTGAGATGCAAAACTCGTTTCACCATTTGGTCCAAGTGCACTACGATGTTCCCCAGTCCTCCTATCACGGGAACCTGTCCTGGCTTTTTTGGGTGACACGGGCAATATTTCACCTCCATTCACCAAACCAGGCAAACCAGAAGCCAGTGTCATGGTGGTTTGAGGTCCATTTTGATGACAACAATCAGTCGGAATCTCCTTGTTATTAACTTGTGTACCATGCTTCACATCATCACTGTAAATTGCCTGCGGTGGGACTTTTGCACTACAAGCATTTTTCAGTATTGATCGAATGAACAGATTGTGTAGTGGAATATTCTCCCGCCCAAGAATCCTAAGACAAAGCTTATTGAACTCAACTTTACTCAGTTTCAAACTCAAGAAGCTATTCAAGTAATGAAAATACTGCTTGGACCCCACCGGCCCAAGTTTCCTCACTAACTGAACTTTAAAGTCAGTAAGATTGATCCTCGAATGCTGATGAGGTGGTTGCATCTCTCTCTCTCTCTCTATCAACACTCAAAATCCATGTAACACAAGCAGTCTTCAGGACAACAATGATACAGAATCTCGAACTAAATTAGCATTTTTTCGTACCAATTCCAAAAACCCAACTTCCAAACAACATTCAATCCTTCCCATAACATCCCAAATGATGCCAAGCCAAATCCCATCTCCAAAAACTTAATCTTTACACACAATAGTTCGCCCTGAGATCTCAAATTTTCAATTACATTAACTCTCCCTCCAAAACCCCAATCCAAAAATTTCCAAACTTTGAACACTATGCCCAAAAAGCAAAACTCAAATACACAAAATCCTTTATTTAACTAAACTTCATAAACCCATTAAAGATACATCCCTGCAACTCTAAGCCCGCCACAGTTTATGTATTTCCACAAAATTGCGCAATAACCGTAATGCCAACTTTTCAATAAAAGCTTCAAGCTTGAATCCTCAACTTCAAGCCCAGATTTTTCATTCACAGAATTTAAACTTGAATGAGGAAAATGATTCATAAATGAACAGAAGATTCAAACTTGAAGAAAAATAACACATAACAGAGAAGAAAATCAATGGGTTGACCTTATTGAAGCTCCCGATTCAATTCAGCCAAATTAAAAATCCCAAAAACTCTCAGCTTTTATTTTCTTGAATTCTTACTTGTTTCGTGAAACCCATGTAGCTTGTTCTTCAATTTGCTCCTTCTTCATTCAAAAATTTCTTTGCATTTTCAAATTTCTGCCTTTTTCCCCTCCATGTTCTCTTCTAAATCAGAAAATTGAAGCCGCCTTTCTCTCCTCTCTCTCTCTCTGATCGCTCTTATTCGGTTTCCCCTCTGTGTTTTGTGTCTGATTACAAGAATATTGTCTTTGTTTATTTAGATTGAAGGTACAATTTCCTATGCACAATGTATAAATTTGTTATTGTACAACTTCTTTAAATAGTTGTACATGATCTGGCAGGACAAAGATTAGTTTGGAATTAGCAATTTCTATTCATGGAAGGTCTAACTTGTGTCACGCGCTACATTGTTTGTGAGTTTTACTCGTCATCTTATGGGGAAATAATAACTGATGTGTTGATCGTAACATAACAGGCTTGCAAAATAGGATTTTTTATTTTATTTTTTTCCCCCCGATTTTGGAGGTGATAGAGGGGAGTCAGGCAATGTAATTGGTGGTGGAATTCGGGGGTGAGGCGAGGTTGTTTCTGCTGATTCTTCCAATTGGTAGTGGAATGATGGGAGGTGATAGAGGGGAGTGAGGAGAGATTGTTTGTGCTGATTCTTCTAATTTTCAATTTTGATAGGGCGTTTTCCTCGTTTTCGTCGTTTTCGACGTTTCGAGTTTTTGGCTTGAAAACACTCAAAATGACCAAACGGTCGTTTTGAGTTATATATACTTTTTTTTTTTTCCCAAAATTACATTTTCGAAAATAGGAAAGAGAACGCGTTTTTAATGTTTTGAAAAATCGAAAAAAGAAAACGATTTGAACACGACAAAAAGAATAGTCCCTTAGTTTTTTGGTCAAAATGTGTTTGGTGTCTATTAAATTTTTGCCTTCTCAAGCATATAAATTGGATATAATTAATGTTTTATATAAATGTAAAAGTGTAATAACAACTTAATGCACTATTTTTTTAAAAAAAACTTTGAGCAAAATGTGACAAATGAAAAGTAAAAGAAATTCATGGACCTCATTATTTTGAAACCGTACGAATTTCAAGTTCACCCTAAGGACGCTTTTAACATCCATATAACCCTATTAAATACGTGTCTATTCTCAAGTTGGACAATAAGAATAGAAAAGAGCATTTCACTCATTTTCTCAAAACAACGTTCTAACTTTGTAAAGTGAGGTGAAAAGGACGAAAATTTATTTGTTCCTAATTCTTCTTTATCTCGTACCCTTAAAAGAATAATTTGTTAGAATGGCATTCTAACTAACGATATATGAGTGTGATTTGATAATATGTACTCTTTGAAAAGCACACTATGATGAAAATTGTAAGTTGTACTCAAGAGAAATGTATTGTCTATAGTTGACTTCTATAATAGAATCAATTGTGACATAAGAGGCGTTGGATTACCCTACGACAATATCAAATATTCGAGTTTGCTTATCAATAACTCTTGATTTTAGTCGATATAAAATTATATGATAGTACCGAACTTTTTGATTCGACAATTTAATCAATGACTTATCATTCATGGACTCGATAAAATTTAACATTTACTTCAATGTATTCAACTTTGAAAATTCAAAGTGTACAACTAAAAAAATTGTTGAAATAATAGAATTATGTAAAACTAACATACATCTAATTCGAGATAAAAGTATGAGGGTAATATTCATACCATACGTCTACTTTGAGATAAAGTATGAGGGTAATATTCATACCATAGTTTATATTCCATTACATTTTAATTGCAATAAAAGTTTTCAACTTTTGCATATTTTAGCATTTATACAAGAAATCAATTGAATTTTGTGTGCTCTACTTCATTGAATTTTAATTCAATAGTTCACTCGGAATACTTTTTAAAGGATTGTTGTATAACTAGGTCAAATAAGCCTTTCTGGAATAAATATTCAACCGCTTTAATATTACTATCTCTAACTAAAAATATATCGTTGGAGATGAAATTTCGAATGTCTTTGATGTCGAATAAATGATCGACATTAATGTAGTAGAATTATCACGACCCCTTCAGCTATGAATATTTTTAATTTTTCTATTCGAATCTTTACTTTTACTAGATAACAGGTGTGTGCAAAGGTTTCCTCAAGCAAGACGGAGATTGACCTCAAGTACAAAGGTAGAAGGGAGCTTGATTGCAAGACCACCCGTCAAGCACAGACGAAAATTGACCTTAATGATCTGATTGTATCGAGTGGAAGGGCGTCGCTCGATGAATAAAAGTTACTCTAGAAATAACAGATTGATCTTTCCTATGAACTCACATCGATGGAAAGTCAAGGAAAATGGAATTTTTTTTTTTTTTTACATTTCAAAAATGGACATGCTAGATTATATATATATATATAAGAATAGATAGATCCATCGATAGATTCACACTTGAGATCTTTCTACAGATAGTATAGATGTCCCCAGTGCTACGATTCTTTGTTGTCCAAACCCGATGCCGCATTAGCTTAGAGAGTTGGGAAGATAATTGCTCCTTTACATCCCAAAGAGTTGGCCCATGACATCATAGACCTAAGTGATCATATTAGATCCTTGGGAACCGTCACAAGGACGGCGATCTATATTTGAACAAAAATGTTGTATCGTCCAGTGGAGCCTAAAAGAAGGTGACTCCTGTATACTCAATGAAGACCACCCCCATCTCGAAGGTGGGGGAAGGATTGGTGATTTGATTCCAACAAAAGGGGCAAAGAAAAGGGCCAGATACTTCAACTAGAGGAGCGACCATTTGGATCACCAAACTCCAACCCAACATCGTGGATTCTCCAGGTTCAAAGGGATCTAGTGCCCAACTACCGATTCTTTCCAAAATTGTATTCTTTTAATTAAATTTCGACTGTAATGAATGTCAGCTCAATTCGAAGGAAATTATGGAAAAGCTTTACAGAATTATTAAGAAGTTATGGATCCAAATAACAATAGAAATATTTGAGTATTCGATTTGAATTTGAATTTAGTCTTAGATTTTGTATTTCAAATTTTATGTATTTAGAGGAAGTATATATTTAGCCAAAATAGATTGTTAGATAATAAGCAACAAATACCCGTCTTTCTTCTAAATGAGATGTATTGAACTCATGATTTAATATATACTTTTTATGAATGTCAACAAGTATCATAATAAATTTCTCCTTTTTAGGTGAGATAGCCTTTCTACGAAGTTACTGTGTGAAATTAGCATTTGACAAATTATTAGAATTAATAATTTTTTTAATTTTAAAAATATTAACTATACAAAATACCCTCAAAGAAAAAACAAGACAAATCAAATTACCAATTATTTACCCAATTCAAAACCCATATCTTATTTCTACCGTTTCCTTCATTCTTCCACAAGGGTTATAGGGTCTCCTGCTCCACTTCATCTCTTTCACCACCATTGTCGCCCACTTAACTAATGCTCACTGCCATCGCTTGTGTGTGTCGAAGAATTTTCAGGAACCTTAGGCGAAAATTCTTTGCTTCTAAAGTATTATTCATATGTGATTTCTATTTTGTGGGTCTTTTTTGTTTATCGACTTTAATTTTGAGCTCTGTACGTATTCATAGTTTCAATAATACGAGATTTTTCTTTGATATTATTGTTGTTTATGCTTTGGTTTTTACCCAAGTCGGAATGATTGTGGTTTCTGGAACAGAGTTGATATTGTGAAGTTTTCTTTGGAGAGGCTGAGATTTCTATCAATGCTCGTGAATAGTCATGGGCATCTACCAAGAGATCTCTCTGCCACCTAAACCACTCCCACTGCCCAAAAATTGTGTTGCTACATATTTCAAATTCTGAAATACATCCACCATTGTTGTTAGCCAAATCTGCTTGGGAGTTGGAGTTGACATTATTGTATATTTTTCTTAATCCAGGAGTATGACGGTCAAAAGCATATTCCAGCTCGATCTAGTTCATTCTAAATCAGATTTCAAGGCTTTCAAACTCTTGATTATGATTATGGTAATGAAGCAAAACCCAATTTGTGGTTAAATTTGGGTGAAGTTCAAAGTTGGAATGATGAATTCCTATAAAGTTCTCTTCCATCCCAACATGCAGGCAAAAGTAGGCAACATCTTATAGATCAGAGTGATATGTTGTCGAGGTTTTTCTTGAAGACGAGATAAGGTGTTGTGTTCGATAATGTTGGATAAAGATTCTTTAATTTCTGAACACAATCTCTGTTTTTGATCAAAGCTTGTTTGCGTTGCTAACTGGACTCCTATTACTGTGCAAGTTGCTTCTATCGTAAAAAAATTGAAATGCTACTTATATCTATCTTCGAGCACCTCATAG